TTGCAAACGAACAAACTACCGAACGGAGTCAATAGTCTTACCCTGGAGCTTGTTCCCTTCATTTAGACGAATGATCTCACCGAACAGTGCCCTATTAAACTGAATAGAAACGAATGCAGGCGATGATGGAAGTTCAGCGGTGTTCAGGAGTTTCTGTATCCGATTTCAGTAACATGAGATTCATGCCCAAACACTGATGCCTGCGTTCATGTGAACAAGATGGCTGCCAACTCGTCGTTGTTCATAGGAATCGCGGCCACCCAGACGAACAATTAGAACAATGTGGTAAAAAACTTTCCAAGTTGTTAATAGGTGTTAACAAGCTCCAGGGTGGTCTCTGTTCGTGCAGTTGTTCGGTAAACTAAACATATAGTCCCAATTGCAGAGCCTGTTTAAAGTATATTAACTAGTTCTGTTGTAGGGGCAATAGTCACTGGGTAAAACACTGGCTAGTAGTCCCCTCCAAAAACCAGTGGTGAAGTTGCTTTCGTCACACAGAGGTTCACTTAAGTACTCGTGGGTGAATACTGTCAGGCCCCAGAGCTTTATTTACATTCATTTTTGTCAACTACTGTAGCACCTTGTCTTGAGTTATCCAGTCATAAGTTATCTGCAAGTAATTTTGCAGCAATCATTTTCATATCTCTTGCCATGGGATCCTCATTAATATATACTGAAGAAAATAGTTATGTAAAATTTCATAATCTAACAGACCATGTCTGTTTTCAGTGTACCTACACTTTCTTTTTTTTTTTTTTTTTTTTTAAGAATTCATGTACGGTACTTAAAACATATATTTTGGGGGTTGGTTTTGCATTCTTTGGCTATCCAATTTTCATTTTCTTGTTTAGCCACTTTAATTGCCTTTTTGCAAGCATTACTGGCTCCTTATATCTTGTATAGGATGCCTCTGATTTTTTTTTTTGGCTACTTTATTGTACCAATCCTCTTTTTATTGCACTCTTTATGCACTTTAAACAACTTTTGTTTTTACCTATTCCTGGCATTTTAACCTTTCCTGGTTACTTTTACTTCCATTGGCAATTTTAAAGTTCCAGTACTCCAAAAAATCCTAGGTGGGGATCATACCACCGGCGCCTATCCATAGAGCAGTACCTCTGCTCTATCTTTGTGAGTATTATTTTATTTTCTCTACTACTCTCTTAACCTATCACAATTGAGAGCACTATTGCTGCTTTTTATTCTTCTATATTGGAGCCTTGGATCACCAGACGGTGCTGACGGACGTATCGCCGCTACATATCCTATAAGCGGGGATTATACCGCTGTACGCTATCCACACCAGAGCTGGCCATAGCTCCCTCAAATGTGAGTTTTTTTTTTTAACCTCTTCTTATCTGCACATTGAACCACATCAAAATTGAGAGCACTATTGTCGCTTTCTGTCTTTCTTTTCCGAGTTCTGGACTACCATACGGTGTTGACGGAGACCCCCTCCCTACATATCCCATAAACGGGGATTATACCGCTGTAGGCAATCCACACCAGAGCTGGCCATAGCTCTCTTGAATGTGAGTTCTCTACTTTGTTACCTATCACACCCTGAACTTTCATACTATACCATTAGTCGCCTCTACCTCTCTTGTATTTACATATACGGAACGGTCTACACTAGACGCATCCACAGAGGAACTCTATCAAGTATCCTAGACCATCTATTGGCACCCAAGCAATACTTTACTGGACTATCTACCCTTATTTGGCGCAGCCCTTCCATATCTTTTTGCCTCTGATTTAATCTCTTGTTTTACTTCTCTACTAAGCCACATTGGTTTCAATTTGTTTCTTTTACATTTATTACCCAATGGTACATCCAGAGAAATATCTTTCTAATATTAGTTTGAAGAGTTTCCATTTATCCTCTGTGTTTTTTTTCACTAAGGAGTTTATGCCAGTCGATGTGTTGGGGAGTTGCCCTAGTCTTATTGAAATTGTCATTTTTTTTAATTATACATTTTAGTATACCCTATTTGCTTTTGCTTTTTACTATATTGTGATCACTATTTCCCAAATGCTCCCCTACTTGAATGTTGGTCAAAAGATCAACATTGTTTGTTATAACGAGATCCAGACAAGCGTCCTTTCTAGTTGGTGCTTGTACCAGTTGTGACATGAAGGTGTCATTTAACACACTCATAAACTTGATTCCCCTTGCTGAAGTACTAGTCACTCTATTACAATTTATGTACGGATAATTAAAATCTCCAATAATTAACGTGTTAACCATATTTGCAGGTTTCCCAATTTGCTCTAGCAGCTATTCTTCCTCATTAATATTTACATTATGTGGTTGATAACATATCCCAACCAATAATTGATTTCCCTTCATTTGCCCCAAGCAGATATCTACCCATAAAGCTTCCTTGTCACACTCTGTATGCCTAAGATTTGACTTTAAAGGACCATTATAGGCACCCAGACCACTTCAGCTCAATGAAGTGGTCTGGGTGCCAGGTCCCTCTAGTTTTAACCTTCCAGCTGTAAACAAAGCAGTTTCAGAGAAACTGCCATGTTTATACTGCAGGGTTAATCCAGCCTCTAGTGGCTGTCTCACTGACAGCCACTAGAGGCCGCTTCCGCGATTCTCACTGTAAATCACAATGAGAAGGCGCTAACGTCCATAGGAAAGCATTGATTAATGCTTTCCTATGGGCGTCTTTTTAATGCGCTCGTCTCTGGCCTCGCATGTCCATTTGGCTCTACTCGGGAGCCAATGTCGGAGTGGGAGGACACGTCACCAGCGCTGAGAGAGCCCGGTGCTGGATAAAGGCAAGTGGCTGAAGAGGTTTAAACCCCTTCAGCCCAGGAAAACGAGTTTGTTTCCCTGGCACTATATTAGTCCTTTAACTCCTGGTTGACATACAAACATACCCCACCACCCTTCTTGTTTTTCCTATCTTTCCTAAATAACGTATATCCATTTGCGTTAACTGTCCAGTCATGTGTCTCATCCCACCATGTTTCTGTTGTGCCTATTATATAATATTGTTTAATGCATGCTATTGCCTCTAGTTCTCCCATTTTGTTATATAAGCTCCTTGCATTAGTAAGCATACATTTAATATTATCATGAGTCATTTGTACTTTTTGTAAATTTTTATCAATATTACATACCTCCTCTGTTCTGAGCTTGCCCCTCCCCCATCTCCACCCCCATTATACTGATCTAAAGTCCTTCTCCTTTATATACCATCTCCATTTTCTAGATTGCTTTGACCCTTCCCCCTACTACTAGTTTAAAATCTCCTCCAACCTTCTAGCCATCCTATCCTCCAGCACAGCAGACCCTCTTTCATTTAGTTGCAATCCATCACGGCTATACAGGTTGTACCCAAGCGCAAAATCATCCCATTCCCCTTAAAACCCAAAACCCTCTTTCTTGCACCAAGACTTCAGCCACACATTTCTGAAAATATTACCTTGGAGGTCCTTTTCTTAAGCTTACTTCCTAGTTCCCTTAGCTCACTCTTTAGGACTTCCATTTTCCTCTGACTTTGTCATTGGTACCAATATGGACCATGACAGCTGGGTCATCCCCAGCCTCTCCCAATAATTCCTCTACTCTGTCAGCAACATGCCGGACCTGAGCACCCAGGAGACCGCAAACGTTCCGGTTGAGACGATCATAGTGGCAAATTACCCTATCTACTATCTTAATAATAGAGGCCCCTACCACTACAACCTGTCAAGCCTTCCTTGCACTTTCATCCCCACCTGTACTTAAGGGGCTGTTCCCACAGCTGTTTGAAGGAACAACTTTCTGTAGTACAGCTACTCCTGAGCTGATGCTCCCAACATCTTAACTCAAACATGCAAATCTGTTAGGCTGCACAAGATCAGGACTAGCTAAACCTTTCCTCTCCCCCACACCCCTGCTTCCTCGCCCTACTGTTACCCAGCTAATGTGCCTGTTCACCAACTGTCTCATCTCCTCCCACTCCACTACCTGTCCCCACTAAACTCTGCTCAGTGTTGCAATTTGCTCCTCCAGATCTCCAATCTGAGCTATCAAAAAAAAGCCACTCGCTTACACATGGACCCTGGACAGATTCTTCCAGGCATGCATACATGTAGCAGGATGGGCACTGAAAAAAAACACGCAATCTTCCTAGCACTCCTCCCCAGTTACCAAAAACACAAGTGAGCAAAACAATATTTAAACTTTTTTTTTTTAAACTCTCTTATAGTTTAAAAACTCCTGTGTATGTATGTGTGTGTATTTGTATGTGTGTGTGTGTGTATATATGTGTGTGTGTGTGTGTGTGTGTGTGTATATATATATATATATATATATATATATATATATTATATTATTTTTTTTTATTTATTTTTTTGAACCCCTTAAGGACTGAGCCAAATGTACACGTTGTGATCAGAACAAAACGTAAACAAAAACTTGAATTTGCACTATATGTCTGTTCAGGCATAATTCACCTCTTTCATATTATGTGCACCTACACTTATTATATATCATTTTATTCAGGGGAAACTGGGCTTTCATTTATCATCAAATATTTAGGTATAAAACATAATTTAATATGAATAAAATATAAAAAAAATGGGAGAAAATAAGAATTTTTAAAAAATGTTTAGTTCTACGTGACATTCTAACTGTGAATGTCATAATATTGTTTGATTTTTACTGCAATAAAATACACCTATTTGTATTCAGCGATGTCTGACATGTAAAACAGTACCCCATATGTACAGGTTTTATGGTGTTTTGGGAAGTTAGAGTCAAATATAGCATGTTACATTTTTCAGTTTTTTTCACATTGAAATTTGCCAGATTGGTTACGTTGCCTTTGAGACCGTATGGTAGTCCACGAATGAGAATTACTCCAATGATGGCATACCATTTGCAAAAGTAGACAACCCAAGGTATTGCAAATGGGGTATACCCAGTCTTTTTTAGTAGCCACTTGGACTTAATGTTAATATTTGAAAATGCAAAAAACTAATTTGAACGTCAATTTTGGCCAGTGTTTGAAAAGTCTTTTTCTGAAGTCTAAAACTTTTGTTTTTGTGTGGTGTGACAGTGACTCACACCACACAAAAACAAAAGTTTTAGACTTTAGAAAAACAGACTTTTCTAAAATTAGAATATGGGTAGAGGAGTCATTATCAGACTGGATCAATTTAAATGGAGTCCAAGAGAAATGGAATTATTTAAAAGTTGCACTATTGAAGGCAACAGAAAATTGCATTAGGCTTGTCAGTAAAAGCAAAAAATTCAAGAAACCACTGTGGTACTCGGCAGATGTGGCCAAAATAGTTAAAAACTAAAAGTTAGCATTTAGGAATTATAAAAAAACCCAGAGTGAGGAAGACAAAATGATCTATAAGGTTAGGCAGAAAGAGGCTAAGCAAGTTATAAGAGCTTCCAAATCACACACAGAAGAGAAAATAGCACAGTCAGTAAAAAAAAGGGGACAAAACATTTTTACATAAATGAGAAAAGAAAAGTAAAACAATGATTAGTTAGATTAAAAACAAAAGAAGGAAGGTATATAGAAGAGGATAAAGGTCTAGCTGACTGCCTCAATTAATATTTTTGTTCTGTATTTACAGATGAAAATGAAGGAAAGGGACCTGACTTAAGAAAAAGGATAAATGAGTCATTTATTACATGTGAGTTTACAGAGGAAGAGGTTCTATTTCAACTGTCAAAAGTAAAGACAAATAAGTCAATGGGACCTGATGGAATACACCCAGAGTTATTAAAAGAGTTTAGTGGTGTACTAGCAAAACCATTAACAGATTTATTTAACCAATCATTGTTAACAGGAGTAGTCCCAGAAGATTGGAAGTTAGCGAATGTTGTGCCCATTTACAAGAAAGGTAATGGGGAGGAGTCGGGAACTATAGGCCAGTAAGCCTTACTTCAGTAGTGGGGAAAGTGATGGAAACCATGTTAAAGGATAGGATTGATGAACATCTAAAAACACATGGATTTCAAGATCAGAGACAACATGGATTTACTTCAGGGAGATCATGCCAAACTAATCTTATTGATTTTTTTGATTGGGTAACTAAAATTATAGATCAGGGTGGTGCAGTAGACATTGCTTACCTAGATTTCAGTAAGGCTTTTGACACTTTGGCACATAGAAGGATTATCAATAAACTTCAATCTTTCAGTTTGGATTCCAATATTGTTGAATGGGTAAGGCAGTGGCTGAGTGACAGGCAACAGAGGGTTGTTGTCAATGGAGAATATTTGAAGCAAGGTCTAGTTAACAGTGGGGTCCCTCGGGGATCTGTACTTGGACCCATTCTCTTTAATATTTTTATTAGTGATATTGTAGAAGGTCTTGATGGTAAGGTATGTCTTTTTGCTGATGATACTAAGATATGTAACAGGGTTGATGTTCCAGGAGGGACAAGCCAAATGGCAAATGACTTAGGTAAACTAGAACAATGGTCAGAATTGTGGCAACTGACTTATAATGTGGATAAGTGCAAGATAATGCATCTTGGACGTAAACACCCAAGGGCAGAGTACAGAATATTTGATAGAGTCCTAACCTCAACATCTGAGGAAAGGGATTTAGGGGTGATTATTTCTGATGACTTAAAGGTAGACAGACAATGTAATAGAGCAGCAGGAAATGCTAGCAGAATGCTTGGTTGTATAGGGAGAGGTATTAGCAGTAGAAAGAGGGAAGTGCTGATGCCATTGTACATAACACTGGTGAGACCTCACTTGGAGTATTATACACAGTACTGGAGACCGTATCTTCAGAAGGATATTGATACCTTAGAGAGGGTTCAGAGAAGGGCTACTAAACTGGTTCATGGATTGCGGGATAAAACTTACCAGGAAAGGTTAAAGGATCTTAACATGTATAGCTTGGAGGAAAGACGAGACAGGGGGGATATGATAGAAACATTTAAATATATAAAGGGAATCAACACAGTAAAGGAGACTATATTTAAAAGAAGAGAAACTACCACAACAAGAGGACATAGCCTTAAATTAGAGGGAGAGGTTTAAAAGTAATATCAGGAAGTATTACTTTACTGAGAGGGTAGTGGATGCATGGAAAAGCCTTCCAGTTGAAGTGGTAGAGGTTAACACAGTAAAGGAGTTTAAGCATGCGTGGGATAGGCATAAGGCTATCCTAACTATAAGATAAGGCTAGACTAATGAAAGAATTTAGAAAATTGGGCAGACTAGATGAGCTGAATGGTTCTTATCTGCCGTCACATTCTATGTCTCTATGTTTGTGACTAAGTGGCTACTAAAAAAGACCGAACATACCCCATTTGCAATACCTTAGGTTGTCTACTCTTGCAAATGGTATGCCATTATGGGGGTAATTCTCATTCTTGGGCTACCGTACGGTCTCAAAGGGAATGTAACGTATCTGGCGAATTTCAATGTGAAAAAAAACAAAACGCAACCCTTATATTTGACTCTCTACCTTTTGAAAACACCATAAAACCTGTACATGAGGGGTAGTGTTATACTCAGGAGACTTCACTGACACAAATATTAGTGTTTCAAAACCGTAAAATGTATCACAACAAATATATTGTCCTTGTAAGTGCCATTTGGGTGTGAAAAAATGCAAAAAATGTCACTTTCACTGACAATATCGTCGTTGTAATACGTTACTGTTTTGATACACTAATATTTGTGTTCAGTGAATCTCTTCCGAGTAAAACAGTACCCCCCATGTACAGGTTTTATGGTGTCTTGGAAAGTTACAGGGTTAAATATAGTGCTAGCAAATTAAATTTACTTATTGTTATTTAGGGTCCCCACCCACCTCTCATTGGCTGGGGCCGTGGGGAGGAGAATAGGTCCCCCCCCCCTTATTATAATTTAGGGCCCCCACCCGCCGCTTAGGGGTGGGGGCTAGGGGGGGCAATAGGTCCCAGGCTTTTTTTTTTTTTTTTTTATAAACACTGCTCACTGTGTACTTGACATGCCCCTACTCGTGGTATAGCAAGTAGGGGCAGAATTTACTAATACTAAATAAACTTTACTTAGTATTAGTACATTTGGTAGATAGCAAAGATGCAGCCGCGGCACGAATAGGATCAGAGTTTCATTCATATGAATGCAATTCTGATACGAACAAAGTCCCAAAATACATCCTGACCGGAATGAACAAACTGTTCTCATTCTGTTAAGATGGAATTCGGTAGTTTCGCTGGCGTTTTGTCTAAGTGACAGGGCATTCGACAATACTGACAGGAAGCATGATCATGGATCAAAGATGAGAATTGTGGAAAAATTGCTTTGATCACCGGAAACGAAGCACACTTTGCTCCTCCGCTGGTAAACGCTGGTCAGGCATAGGAAACCTCCATAAAACAAAGTAGTCCCTCGAAAATTAGAGCAGACAGGAAGAAATGAAAAAGAACAGATCCTGACAGAGGGAGAGCAAAGGAATCGATTGGGGAAAGGTAGGCAAATAAAATAAGCAAAGATTTAAAAATATCTATAAAGAGATGTAAAAAATTAAAATAAACCTTCTTTTTCACTTTTAGCAGAGTTACTTGTTATTAACAGTCCACCAGTTCTCCAAGAAACTCCCGTTGTTTCAACTCCTACGTAAAACTCTGTCTTTTGCTGTGTTTCAGTAGGCTAACTCCAAAGGTTTTATAATAAAGTGCTGTGTACCCATCTGGGCCAGGGCATTTGTTCGGCTTAAAGGAACCTAGTGCTGAAGCCATATCTTTGGTTGTGACCTCCGTTGCCAGTCTTGTTTGGGCTGCTTGTGTCAGGGTGGAGACTCAATTTGCTAAGGAATTTGTTGGTGAGTGTTTCTAATTTGGTTATTCTGGCTTTAGAGAGGGTGGAGGAATTATTATAGAGTGCTTCAAAGTATTTTTAGAATATGTTTCCAATTACTTCTGATTTATTTTTTCCGATGAGCTGCTAAATTCTCCTTCGGAAGTTGGGATCTTGGAGATCCTTTTTGTTTCCAGATGCCGTTTGAGGCGTCTCGCCAGCATCAAATTTGCTTTGTTGCCCTTCTCGAAGTACGATTGTTTGAGCCACATCAGGGCTTTTGTTGTGTCCGCCAGAGTTAGGCTCTTTATAAGATCCCTGGTCACAGTCAGTGGAATCAGCGTTGATGGTTGTGGATTGTGTTTGTGGCGGACTTCCAATTTGTGTAGTTCAGACATGGCATCGGTAAGTTGCTGAATTTGTTTCTTGGTTTTTTTTGGCAGATACTAAGCTAATGAGTTCCCCGCATATGACTACTTTATGGGTGGGTGTAACGGACCGTTTTGCACAAAAGGGGTAAAAACCGCTTAGACGATAATCCCCTTTCAGAGACAGGCACAGCTACTGTAGAATCACCAAAACTCATGAATTGAATACAAGTGAATGCACCAAACACCCGAACTGCATACAAGGGAATGCTCCAAACAGAACTGCACAAGGGAATGCTCCAAACACTCGAACTGGAACCTCACGAATAGCTGCTAGCAGACGAACAGGAAAAGCACCCAAGCGGCTTACACTCCTGGCAATCAGTCTCTATCAGCATACAGTAAATCCCCCAAAGACGAGACAGAGCTCCGTGTTGAGGGTCAAGCAGTGGTCTGTTTAATGAGGGCTACCTGCCCAGTATTTATGCAGGTCTCCCACCTGGTGGACACTCCCCTAGGGGACCAGATGGAAGACTGTAACAAAAGACAGACATGTACCAATTACAGACATACAGAAGTAAAACATCCCCACAATGCATCCTGGCTTCCTCCCCTCTGCCCTGGAGAAGTAATTCAATTATCTCCCAGGACAAAGGCAAAACTCCATTACACATGTGTAAAGACAGACTATCACTTTAAAATACATAATGGGACAAATGGTACAGTAAATATATACATGTAACATATCCCCAGATAGCTCAGGTCTGAGTGCACATTATTAGGTGAATGGCACTCAGACCACACGATTACAGTTTAATTGCCATGGAGCCAAAGTCTTTAATTCCACGAACAGGCTCCATGGCATAGCTATCTGGGTTAAAACATTCCCCCAACACAAAATACCGAATTTACATGCATTCGTTAAATCCGTATGAATTAGAACCAGGGGATGAAGGTTCAGCGGTGCCTGCACGTAAAAGTGTCCGGG